TATTCTTAGTACTTTATTATTCATTGAATTTAGTAGACTGCAATTACCTTTTCCGATTTCTATTGGTTCACTTACATTATTGTCTGAAGGATTAGTTTCTTTTGCAATTTCTTTTACTTGATAAACTTTACTTGCACTCTTTATCCTAAAAAATGATTCTGAACACCCATGACAACTGGAATGTGTCTGCCCTTAATAACCTGCCATCTGATCTCAAAGGTATTATGAATGAAAAAGCACAATTTAAAGTAGCACTGAAACAATACTTAAGTACACAGTCATTCTACTCTGTTGATGAATACCTATTGTCTAGAAAATAACGTATGTATCTTTAAATAGCCTTGTGTGTAGTCACTGTGTATTCTCTGTTTCTCTTGTGTGAGAACTCCATTGGGTCTGTACGTATGTTTTGTATTTATATAACATATTCCACAACAAAGGAATGGCAGATACCTCTTCTGAAGTAGCTAAAGGTTAAAAATTATCAACAGTCTGTAAACATGTAACATATAAATTCATCATTAAGCGTCCAACTCATTTTTCATTTGCAGCGATGAACTGAAAGGATTAGGGCTGGTGATAGACAACACTGGCGAGAAGCTCGAGCACACAAAGGTGCTGGCCGAGGAGGCCAGTGCAGCTGTGGCAGACATCCATACAAATGCCCTTAAAATTTACACTGACATATATAGCCTCAATATCCCAGAAATTAACATTCCAAAACTGAAGCAGGTTGCTGAATTGACTGCGGCTGAGGTAAGTTGACTGACAAATGTTCAGTGAGTGAACTTTTCCACGCTTTTATTGATTCATTTCCTACTATTATATTCTCCATGTTCTTCATGCCCTTCTTCCTCTCCTTATTCTGTTCCCCGTTAGCTTCATTGGTTTCTCAGTTTCCACAGTAAACTGCTCTTAAGTCTTTTGTCTTCCAAAAGTTCATACTTTACATGTACATGTACATGCATGCATTTTCTCTGTCTCACTTCTTCTTGCACACACACACACACACACACACACACACACACACACACACACACACACACACACAGTCTCTCTCTCTCTATCTCTCTCACTCCCCCTCCCCCCTCCCTCTCATATTAGAAGACTTGAATGTTCTATGTGAAGCTGAACACAGCAGGTTCTTTGTGCATAACTGTTGGTACAGATCTACCTAACTACACCACATCACATCCCAGAAGACTATAATCCTGGAATTTAACAATATCCCATTCCAATAAAGGAAATTAAATCATTCAAAACAAAACAAAACCCAGCAAAGAGGGGAAAAACTTAATAATGATAGAAAGAAGAATCCACTAGAACAAGGTTAACCCAGACATCATGCTTCAGCGCCTATAGTGTATGTCTCTCTGGAGCACGGCTTCTAACAGTTGTCATGATGAATGTTCAGGCCAGGAGGATAAAGCAGGAGGCGGAGGATCTCCTGGCTGAGAACGAGAGCCTGCTTGATGACATGAGGGACCAGATTGACGAGACGAGGGAGCTGCTAGAGAGAGGCCACACTCAGCAGCAGATCGCAGATGAGTTGCTGGCAGACACAGACGCAGCGAAAGCTAAAGCTGAGGAGGCTGTCAGTAAGGGAGACGAGATTCTGGAAACAGCCAAGAAGACATTAAAAACACTGCAAGGTTGGTAGACTTGTGTATACAGAGCATTAGGAACCGAAGTATTTTGCTGAATTATCATAGTGCTCCTGTCATGAAGCAAGTAATGTGAATGCGATTAATCTTAATTCCAGATTTTAGTAGGAAAATATTGTGACATCATCAAGTGACTGTAGCAGGTGTTTGGATGTATTTAACCCGTTGCCGTGGTTCGTCGTATATGTTTCGTCAGGGATTTAAATCGTCTGGGGGGGTTCGACGTGTATGTTTCGTTCAGCTGCACACCTATGTTATAACGCCCATAATAATTGATGGTTTTGCTGTAGATTGTTAGATTTTTCGCTGGCCTGTTGTCACAAGAACGGTTTATAATGAGACACGAGTTTAGCTGCGCTAAGTCATCGTTACATATGCCTGTCTTGCAGCAAATTTCCTGTGGGTCTGGCGAGCGGTTTCTAGCTGTACCGTTATGAAAGGCGTGTTTTCTTTGCTTTGAAGATATAAACAACAGAGACGTGATGTTTATAATATCATATTACCCTGAGCTGGCCACAGTAACGCACTCACTTGGAATTCTTGGAAGAGGGTTGTCCAAAAGTTTATTCTTGTAAAATCGATTGCTTTCGCACAGTACTTAGCACCCATTTCTTAGAAAAACGCCACAATTTAAGGCAGAACACTGTGGTCACCCCCTGTGACGATGGGTGTGTGTGTGGGGGGAAAAGAACGCATTCCTTCATGTATTTTATCGCTCCAGTTGACTCCAGTTTATCGTACTGACCTTGGTGGTCGTTTCGAGGGATGACCATAACTATTTTTTTTGAGCCAGCTAAGCTCTGCTTTCTTCCTCTATATACCAGCCAGTTCTTATAATAAATTCATGAATTCTGTGGTCACCCCTACGACATCTGGGGAGCCGAAAAGGTTGGAATCTGAAACGCAGAAGCACCAAACCCTTCTTATGATAACACAAAGGTTGAATTTACTGCAGCTAATCTGTCAAAATATACGACTCACGGAGGGACATTTCCACTTGTATTCCCCCCACGGGGAAGAAGG